CGGGGGGTCCCCCCCCCCCCCCCCCCCCCCCCCACCTCGTGTTCGAGCCTCGGCCCCGCGGGGGCTGGGAACGAATAAAATGTGGGGTGGAGTAAAATGTGGGGTGGAGTAAAATGTGGGGTGGAGTAAAATGTGGGGTGGAATAAAAGGTGGGGTGGAATAAAAGGTGGGGTTCCACACGAGAGAGGCTGTGGGGCTGATCTGTGGTGGGGCAGATGTGGGGCTGGTTCTGTGTGTGATGGGGCCAGATGTGGGGCTGTTCTGTGTGTGATGGGGCAGATGTGGGGCTGGTTCTGTGTGTGATGGGGGCAGATGTGGGGCAGATGTGGGGCTGGTTCTGTGTCTGATGTGGGGCAGATGTGGGGCTGTTCTGTGTGATGGGGGCAGATGTGGGGCAGATGTGGGGCTGTTCTGTGTGATGTGGGGCAGATGTGGGGCAGATGTGGGGCTGTTCTGTGTGGTGTGGGGCAGATGTGGGGCAGATGTGGGGCTGTGCCCATGGCGGGTCAGGTCAGGCTGTCCTGGGGAGTGACCTCTGTCCCTCCCTGTCCCCATCAGTGTCCCCTGTCCCTGTCCCTGTCCCCACGCCGGGCTGTCCCGCTCTGTCACACTCGGTGCCTTTATTGGGCCCCCCCGGCCCCTCCACGCCCTGAGGCCGTCCCAGTGTCCATCCAGTGTCCATCTGTCCATGTGTCCATCTGTCCAGTGTCCATCCAGTGTCCATCCAGTGTCCGTCTGTCCAGTGTCCATCCAGTGTCCATCTGTCCTGTGTCCATCCAGTGTCCATCCAGTGTCCATCCAGTGTCCATCCCAGTGTCCATCTGTCCAGTGTCCGTCCTGTGTCCATCCCAGTGTCCGTCTGTCCAGTGTCCATCCAGTGTCCAACCTGTGTCTGTCCAGTGTCCATCTGTCCTGTGTCCATCCAGTGTCCATCTGTCCTGTGTCCATCCAGTGTCCATCCTGTGTCCATCCAGTGTCTATCCAGTGTCCATCCAGTGTCCATCTGTCCTGTGTCCATCCAGTGTCCGTCTGTCCAGTGTCCATCCAGTGTCCATCCAGTGTCCATCCAGTGTCCATCCAGTGTCCATCTGTCCAGTGTCCATCTGTCCTGTGTCCATCTGTCCTGTGTCCATCCAGTGTCCATCTGTCCTGTGTCCATCCAGTGTCCGTCTGTCCAGTGTCCATCCAGTGTCCATCCAGTGTCCATCCAGTGTCCATCCAGTGTCCATCTGTCCAGTGTCCATCTGTCCTGTGTCCATCTGTCCTGTGTCCATCCAGTGTCCATCTGTCCTGTGTCCATCCAGTGTCCGTCTGTCCAGTGTCCATCCAGTGTCCATCCAGTGTCCATCCAGTGTCCATCCAGTGTCCATCTGTCCAGTGTCCATCTGTCCTGTGTCCATCTGTCCTGTGTCCATCCAGTGTCCATCTGTCCTGTGTCCATCCAGTGTCCGTCTGTCCAGTGTCCATCCAGTGTCCATCCAGTGTCCATCCAGTGTCCATCCAGTGTCCATCTGTCCAGTGTCCATCTGTCCTGTGTCCATCTGTCCTGTGTCCATCCAGTGTCCATCTGTCCTGTGTCCATCCAGTGTCCGTCTGTCCAGTGTCCATCCAGTGTCCATCCAGTGTCCATCCAGTGTCCATCCAGTGTCCATCTGTCTGTCCCTGTGTCCACTCTCCATCCCTGCTGGACGTGACCTCTCCCGGAGCCCTCGGACGTTCCGGACCTGGCGCCGGCTCTGGCTCCGTCCCTCGGTGTCCCCAGGGATGTCCCTCGGTGTCCCCTCGGTGTCCCCAGGGTCAGTGACAGTTCTGGCACTGGGGATGTCCCCAGGGTGTCCCCAGGGAGTCCCCAGGGTGTCCCCAGGGATGTCCCTTGGTGTCCCTCGGTGTCCCCTCGGTGTCCCCTCGGTGTCCCCAGGGTCAGTGACAGTTCTGGCACTGGGGATGTCCCCAGGGTGTCCCCAGGGTGTCCCCAGGGTGTCCCCAGGGATGTCCCTTGGTGTCCCTCGGTGTCCCCTCGGTGTCCCCTCGGTGTCCCCAGGGTCAGTGACAGTTCTGGCACTGGGGATGTCCCCAGGGTGTCCCCAGGGTGTCCCCAGGGATGTCCCTCGGTGTCCCCACGGTGTCCCCTCGGTGTCCCCAGGGTCAGTGGCAGTTCTGGCACTGGGGATGTCCCCAGGGTGTCCCCAGGGAGTCCCCAGGGTGTCCCCAGGGATGTCCCTTGGTGTCCCTCGGTGTCCCCTCGGTGTCCCCAGGGTGTCCCCAGGGTCAGTGACAGTTCTGGCACTGGGGGTGGCACCTCTGCCCGTTGACGTTGCAGCGACAGCCGCCACTGGTGTCCCCAGGACCCTGCGGGGGACAGGGCAGAGGTCAGCAGAGGGCTGGCCCTGGGGTCACCTTGGGGTCACCTCTGTCACCCTGGGGTCACCCTGGGGTCACCCTGGGGTCACTCTGTGTCCTCTCTGTCACCTGCCTTCCCCCCCCACCCCGGGTCCCCCATCACCCCGAGACCCCAGCACAGCCCTTGGTGACCCCCCCTCATCTCGGGACCCCCCGGATCCCCCTGGATCCCCCTGGATCCCCCTCCCGCTGGATCCCTGCTCACCCCAAACCCCCCAGGGACCCCCCCAGGACCCCCCAGGACCCCCAGGGCCTCACGGCGGGTCCCCAGCGCGGTCCCTTGGTGACCCAGCAGATCTCGGTGTGGCACACGGTGCAGCGGATCCAGTCGCAGCCGTCCTTCTTCTGCACCACGATGCGGCAGCTGGGGCAGTGCATCGCCTCCCCGCGCTGCACCAGGGTCTGGGGGGCACCGGGGCGGGGGGCTCAGCACGGCGGGGACCCCCGGAGCCCCCCGGAGCCCCCCGGAGCCCCCCGGACCTGCAGCATGTCCCGCGTCTGTCGCGCCGCGGCGTCGTCCAGCGCCCGCAGCTGCAGCTCGTCCTGGTACTGCCGGCAGTTCTGACCCTCGTGGATGGCCTGGAGACAGCGGGGGTGAGCCCTGAGACCCCCGGGACCCCCCGGGACCCTCCCCAGGACCCTCCCCGGGACCCCTTGGGACTCCCCTGGGACTCCCCTGGGACCCCCCGAGACCCCCTGGGACCACCCCGGGACACCCCAGGACCCCCAGGGACCCTCCCCGGGACCCCTCGGCACCCCCCGAGACCCCCCCCCCA